GAAAGACAGGACTCCGCAGAAATATGGAAAGGATCAGATCCTAAAGCAACACGCTTGGCCTACAAATGTGGCTTGAGAAATGACTGTCTTTCCTTTATAGTCACCCCTGATATTTCTCATGGGAGAATTATGTCTTTTTGCTCCCAATTTCCTCCACTCTCAGAGCCTCTCCTCAATCTCAGCCCCCACTCCTCCCCTCATGCCCCGGGTAGGTTGGGTACAACTCAACACAAGGAGAGCACCAACCTTGCTTGCATAGACAATTCTGTGGACCCTGAATTTAATTGACTCTACGGGGTCCACCAATCCAAACCCCAGTTATTATTGGACTGACTATTATGGCACTAGCATAGTCTGGGGGACTGCCATAGTCCGATGCTGTCCTAACCTTCCTGAGTGGAAAGGTTTGCCGGCTGGGCGGAGCCGCCATCAGGTCGGGCACCTACCACTGTGGACATCCAGGGTGACTTTCTGGGTCTTGCCCCGGTCTGTGTTCGAGCCTGTCCCACAGGCATAGACTCCGCTGTCACTCTGGGTCAGCTCTGTCAACTCCACTAGGAACAGGTTCTGGTCTGGATACGGCGTCAGGGTGATGCGGTGCTTGTATTCCTTCCTGACAAAGCGCTTGCTGGACACCACGGTGAAACACGCTTCAGATTTGTCTATCTCGCGGCACAGATACACTCTCGTATACGTTTCAGGAAGTGGGCACTCAATGGTAATAGATCCGCCCAGCATCCCCTCCAGCTTGACTTCTGGGAGCACCAGGGCTCCAGATACTGCAGGAAGAGGGAGTTAATGGACAGGAAGCCTCGTCACCAGCCATACTCCCACCTCCAGCCCTCTTTCCAGCCCAGGCCCCAGTCCAGCCTCGTGCTCATCCCCAGAACAGCCCATCCCCTTTATCAGCCCAGCCTCAGCCAGCCCTCAGCTTCAGTGCTATCCTCATCTATAGCCCTAGACTCATCCCCAACCTGTTCCCAGGCCCACCTCTCTTTACATCCTCAGTCCTACTCTATGTTCATCTCTGTGCCCAAACTTGTCTCAGCCGCGCTTCTCCCCAGCCCAAGCCTGAGCATAACCCTCAGCTCATCACCAAACCCATGTCCACGAGGACACCAACCCCCTAAGAATATAGTAAAAAAATACTGCGCTCCAAGGAGAGAGAATATTCCATGGTAACCGCAAACAGCACGTAACCCCCAGGTGACTTCAGTGTGGCATTGGGAGGCATGGAACCATTTTGCTGCAACAGGTTTGTCTGTCTAGTTTTGCTTTGCTCAGATCCATTCAGCCGAAACAACCATCCCCACCCAGTTCTAGAATGTTAAATCACTCAATAAGCATGTATTGAATGCCTTCAAGGG